CTGTCTTGTGGCCGTGATCTGAACCCGGAACCTCAAGATTACTAAGCAGAATTACATTACACCTCGACTTAATGTGCAGACTTAGTGAACTCGTGGACAAACGTGTGGGTGACAGTCAATAAATTGTCTTCGTATTATTTTCGAAAAGTCTTAGAAACGGTGTCGCAAGTTTGTAACCAGTAGCTTAAGGACAGCTGTAATGCGCCGTTATGTCGGCAATGTTCTTTGTTGTTAACTCCAAGGAGCAAAGTTTTCAGTAGAAGCTGTTAGTCGCTTAACTGGTGAAGACATTTCTCTCCATTTATAGAATTACAAAGATTAGTACCGCGTTCATAACCCGCCACTTGAACCTATCTTGATACAGTATAATGCAGATGTCACATGTAAATTATTTATTTTGATACTGTACCCTCGTCTCTCGAAGTTCTCCCAAGCGGTCTGTTCCCTTCAGGTTGTTGTGTTACATTTCTGTATGTACCATTGTACCTGCTGGCTATTTTGTGCTGTGAGTTCGTCCTGCATTTTGTTGATGAAACATGAATATATAAGTAGTGTTCTCTGCGTTCATTTCTGTAAGTTAACACATCTAATTACTAGCTATATATCTTCTTCTTGTCTCTCTCGTGTTGTATATATTTTCTCCCACTAAATTATCAGCGGCACAGTCTAGCAGCAGATGTTTTCTACTAATTATATTCTTACATGTTTTATTAAATCCTCCTAGTGGCGACGTGTAAAAGCACTGACGATAAAACATCCCCATGTTTCAAAACTTTCATTTAGGAAATGCATCGTACAGATTCTTATCTTTCTGGACGCGTAGCGGCCCTTCTGCAAAGTAGGCCTACGCTTAGGCTGTTATAAGACTTGAATTAAGGAAGTTGAATATATGGATTATGAAAATGTATGGGTCGTACGTATGAGATGTTTCTGATTATTCATCAGAAAATTGTGTGAGGTTGACGGAAAGGAAGTTTATAATTCTAATTTAGTAGCATTTTCTTCGTGGGCAATTTTAAAATAAATCAGTGTAGCTTGTGGTCATGTGTTTACGGATCCTGCTATTTAGAAGAGTTGCTAAGAATGAAAAACACTTGCGTGCTAAATGTACGGGCATCATACAATTCAAAATTTAATACAATTTCAAATATCTTCTCTCCATCGTACGATTGTGGTCGACCGATCGTTGATACCTGATTGTGGTTGACAAAAGTACGCGCCCTGGGTTTTTAAACTTCGTTCTTTCTGATGCTGATGACTGAGAGAGATCCTTGACGCCAATTGGTGGTGACGTGTTCGACATCAAAACTCCTGATCATTGGTTCTGGATAGATGAGAATTTCAAATGTCAGTTCCACCCGCTGTCAGGTTTTCCAAGCTTCTGAGTAATGCTATTAGACAAATGTCAGAGAAAATGTCCACTGGAGAAAACAGCGAACATCAGTGCGTCGGCTGTCTCGCGATGCTGAGCGTCCCGTGTTTAGAGTGAAGCAGGTCTCTGGAGGAAGTGGGCTACTGTACGTTCCAGTCACGTGTTGTACGTGTATAATTGCCCTTACGATGAGCTGCATATCTGTTAAGCGTTTTGTTTGCAAAGTGATTAAGCTTAAGCTTGTAGGTTTATAATTTGGCGAGTACATTCTTAGTGCATATAATTGTACTTTTATTTTTAGTTATGTGCTGAAGTTATTGAAATAAGTGCAAATTTGTAGATCTAGGCCGTCTGTCCGTCCAACCCTTCACATGTTTAATCACCAAAATTAATGCAGTGTGAAGTTAATTAAATTGTATTTTTCTTTTTATCGATCCATAATAACCCATACTTTGCTTCCAAACTCATGCATTTTTATTTTCATGGCATAGTACTGTTGAATGTATATATGTACAGTAGATTCAGGTTAATTGGACTAGTCGTTTATTTGGGACAGATCTTAAAGAAAAAACCTTTTCAACTCTTTACGTGGAACTTCGCATAATTGGGGCAGCCGCTTAATTGGGTCAAAGTGTTCTAGTCCCGATGTGTCCCAGTTAACCGGAAACCAATGTATATCTGTTTATTGCCCATTTATATTTACCAATTAAATTATATGATTAATCTGCACCAGTAGATGATTTGTTAATTTAGTCCATGTCTCATGCTCTCATGATTTGCTTAAAGTGTATTTTGTAGCGAAATTTAAAAAAAATATATTGGGGTTAAAATATCTCCCATTTTAATCCGCTTCGCAGTGCAAATAAACTTGCATGAACTTTACATAGCCTTCCTGGATATGTAATATATGACGGGGCAGTTACGTCCAAATTTCTGGGTAATAGAAATGCAACTTTCGATCTGTGGTCTACGGTGACTATTTTGCAGAATGTGTGTAATTATTTTTCAGGAATCTCCTATATTGCTCTTGTAATGTGACGTATGCTTCCGCGTAGCTTCGGCTGTATTTACCTCTGCGAACCGGACGAAGTTGGAGATAGAAATTCATATTTTAGATTAAATCATCCGTTGTACAGGATTTTCATTTCACCTCCTATGAAACTACAGATGTTAACGATACCTGTCAGAGGGGACTTCCAGCTCTACATGGAATCCGAATCAAGGTGTTCCCCATATACACAACGGTTATTAACTTTGTTACAAGTGACAACGACATGCGGAAGTGATACGGACTGCATCTTTCTTGTGTTGGACAGAATCCTGCTGGGGTTATCGATATATTTCATCTTGGTGCTTTAATTTCTGTTTCATCGCTATCGATTGTCACATGGTAACCACTTACTCAGTTTTTAATTAGCTTTATAAATTGCTAAATGATCTCGGATTGCATTAGGGCAGTCAGCGCCTTCAGGAACATCAAATAGCTACAGGTGATGTTCTTAATGCAATAGTCAACCTTGAAGAAATTCACTTCCCAGCCTCATCTGGCAGAGGATACGAATTAGAGATTCGTTGCCCGAATGTTTCTACTGTTTACTGCGTGTTTCCGCCTTTTTTTTTATCACCAGCTCTCTTTTTCTCTTTTCTGACATGTACTTTCTTGTACCCCTTGTTTCTCTCTGTTTAGTAAACTGCACCAGAGCACAGAATCAAATTAAGCAGGCGCACGTCTGAGCGAAGTTGGTGTTGCGTGGCTGTATACCCCGCCATTTTCCACCATCGGAATCTAAATATATCCTAATAATCTGTGATCCTTACGCTAAGAGCGTATTGTGTTTCTGTTCGCCCAACAGTGCTAACCCGTTATTTAATTTGACGAAATATTTGTTGTTCCGCTTTGCTGACGTTGTTTAACTTTTCTATTAAAGCCCACATTAAACGAGTTAGTTGTGGTGTCTGGTGTTGAGCATTCTGTAAGCGATTCATTCCACGGAGGCTTCAGGACTCACGTCTGTTTCAAGACGTTCAAATGGAGGTTCCTATTACCGATAAGAACTCACTGAGTAGAACAGCTGATGGTGCCGTTAACCTGATATTCCTCTCCAATATTGGTGATGGAAGGTGATGAAAAATAGATACACGGACAAATACATGCCCATGTAAGTACATCAGAAAATTAGGGTTTGTTTCAATTACGTGACTGATCTGCGAACTTGATGTCAAAAGTTCGATTCTCGGAAGCGACAGAGTTTTGTAACGTTGCCCATATCGACTCACAATCTTTGGTGTATGTTGGCCGTATCTACTGCGGTGATGTCCCTTTTTTATACTTCAGTTTGGTTTTTATTCTAGCAACTTCAATTGTGTTTCATAAGATGCTGTTATTATGGTTTGTTTTTGTATATAATTTAAACTTTGAACATAATCTTCGTGACGTTTCGTTCTTCTGTCATTAATTATGAAGTGCGTTATGCACTGTCCGTATGTTTCATTTTCGTTGATTTAAAATGTACTTTGTTCATGGTTTCATGGCATCTGGTGTTCGTGTATGTTTTTATATCGGGTATCACAGACTTCCTCTCGTAACGATTAAAATTTTTTCTTGCATTAGCTGTATTAACACCATAAGCATTTCATGCCTTAGGCCACGTCAGTAGGGTCCTCCCAAAATGTAGTATTGTCATTAAGGCACATTATCTTCATGTATTGCTGTAATATGATGATAATATGCTTTCACATGATAATTCTTCATTTTGCTATATAAATTAACTCAGCGGTCTCGTATTCTGAGGAGGGTACTTTCTTACATCGCCCGAATACTTGATTCTTGGGTTGACAATAAATATGTGTTCACATTCTCCGATTAATTGGATTTTTCACTGGTGGATACCCATCCAGGACGTCCTGCCTTTTCTCTGATTCGTTAATGGGTACAAATCACAGTGCCTGGGTCATTAGTGGCAAACTTTCAGTTTTTATTAATTGTTATAATGTAATACTGCTTGCATGCCATAATTGTTTTTCAGGATTACTGTTGTGTATTTTATATTATTTGTACGTCCTTCAGTGTAGATGTATGTATTTGTGCAGGAACATATTTGGTGCTGGATTTGGTGGTAATAAGAATAAAGCAATATTTTTGCTTTCTCACAGTGTAATAATGTTACAAGGCTGCTTATTTATTGTAATTGTCATATGTAACCTTTTCGATGTACGGAGTTAAAATGAGATATAAGAAATAAGGTTATGACTGTTACCTTTCAAAATTAATTGCATTATTCTTTAAGTTCTGAGTTGTTTACCTTCTGCAGTACATCATTGGATTCTGCTCTTAAGAAACTAATCTTCCGCTATCTTAATAGCGCGGGAAGTTCTAAAACAACATGCAAGGCATTTTTAAACGAAAAAATTTTCTGTAAAGTATACCAACAATTTCACTTACAGCATAAGATGCAATTAGACTCACCTTTCACTTCTATAGTTACACCAACATACCTGGATCTAGTAAACACTTTCATTTAAACTTAATAGGAAAGTACTTGGCAGTTTAATAAGTCCTGTAACATGTTAAGTTCATCATCATCAGTATCTACTGGTAACAACATTGTGTGTTCTGATTTGTTCACAGAGACTTACGTGGTTTTCGCACGAGAATGACGTCAAAATGTGCATCGTTAAAGGCAAAGACGAGGTAAGAAATGCACAAGATTCTTGTGATAATGCATAGCTGGTGATTGGCATTAAATTAGATTTCCGGGAATTTCGAGCGCCTATCCACGAGTTGAGGACAGGCGTTCTTATATAAAACTCACTTTCGACGCATTTAGATTTTAAATTATCATTCCCAGTCTGTCACTTTACTATAATTCAGCGATGTTGTCGATAGGAAAAGCTAATGTTTTTCGAAAGTCATCGTTTGACCTTCAACTGTAGAGGATCGATTAAACAACGATGTCTTTGTCAGATTTGAGGTTTTAACAGTGGCAAGTATGAAGAAGGCTGTCTTCTGGGTTGTTGCGCCGTGTAGTCTGGTAGAAGTTTACAGACTTCTCAGAGGTGGTTGTGTGTCCATCTTCACGGCGATTATCGCAACAAGCACCTCTGAAACGTCGGTAAACTTCTACCAGGCTACTCGGCTTAACAAATCAGAAGATAGCCATCATCATAGGAGATACCACTCAAATGTGTGAGAATTGCAAAAAAAAATACTATTTTATCACCGTACATTTTTAAGGTCGTATTGAGATGATGTACTC